CCGTTGATACAATAAAATACCAAAAAAAAAAAAAAAATTCTTTTGCAACGAACAAACTAAATTATTTTTTTTTAATGTAGAAAAAAGGCGTAATGAAAAAAATTAAGTTAATTATGATATCACCATGGGCGTCCACAGAAAACTTTCTAGGGGGGGGGGCAAAAAAATCGATTAACTTTCAGGGGGGGGGGGGCAAAAATTTTGTATTAATGTTTTAATATAGTTTTAATTTACTGTAGCGTATTTGTATGGTGAACAATCGGACAGGACATCAGCTTAGTTACTTTCTCTTTATTTTCTTTTTACTTTAATACATTTTTCGTTTATTTTTGTCTAAATTTTGTGTATCCAATCAATTCAGGGGGGGAGGGGCAAGTGCCCCCTTGCCCCTACCTTACACTATAATAACATTCTCCTTTTATTGTTCTTGGCTAAACATTTATGATACATAAAATCTAAATTTAATTTTTAAAAAAATAATTAAAATGTAATAAATACTTCGGTAATTGTATTCGCATTAAATTTTTTGGAAGCTTTTTTAAAAATTATTTTTTAATTTTTAGACCCGCCTCTGGCGAGATCTATGAAACGTAGATATTTGTTTAGATAATTTATTTAAAAACACGCTCCTCTGAGAGCATTGTCGACCGTGTCTAAAAATTAACTAGCATCATTATGATGGGCTAAATATAATTAAGTTATCATGACATCAACATAACCGTTGAACCCTACAACTTAATTTAACACCTACAGAGACGGTGAAAATTCTCGCGAACTTTAAGACCCTTCAGACATGCGCAATGGACGATCACAAATGTTTATAAAATTCATTTAAGATTTAGTTATTCACAAACTTCAAATTTTTAAAAAAAGAAATGAAAGTTGACGCCGGGGCATTTTGGCAGCGTTGATTAAGAAGACGAAGACAGTCAATGTAATGCAATAAGTTGCAGAACGTGTCGCTACTTTAGATATTTCACATAATGGTCGCACTGCCGGCAACAATCAACATGAAGATTAAAAATAAAATTGTTATTGCTGATGAAGTTAAGAATGGAATTGTTATCGGCGATGAAATTAACGATGGAACTGCTATCGGCGATCAAAGTAAAGATTTGTTCAAAGTTCGTTTAGATTTAGGAGCGTCAAATGGAACTGAGGGAGATGTTTTTAGTTTCTCAGGAAATCGGACCTCAAGTCTGAGCAATATCAGCGAGGAAGGTTTCACTGAAAGCAAGCCAGAAAACTCAATGGCCAATGCTACCACAAATATAAGCAGTCTTGTGGAGGGGCGCACGGCTGATTCACAGATGGACACATTGTCTGCCACAAATTTGGGTTACCAGGAAGAACAGTGTAACATACAAATAACACAGAACAACTCCAAGTATGGGAACTCATTGAAAGACAACGCGTCTGATAAACGCAGCATTTCGGGTAGAAAGCAACACGTGACCCCAAACCTTGACCACCGCGGACGTGTCACGAGTCGAGGTAAAGCCGTGAGCTCCTGCGAGTCTCTGGTATCACGTGTGTTCTCGTGGAGGTCCATGATGCTGCTACTGCTTCACCTGTCGTGCATGATAAACACCATGCCCAGGAACACAGCCCCCATGGCCATAGTGTGTATGGTCAGACCCCGATCTGGTGAGAGGTCGGGAGGAGGGTCAACGAACGCCACGAGGAGCGGAGCAACTGAGGGTGTCCTTGGCTCGCAACTGGAAGTGGACAGTGGTGATGTTTTGATGAATACCACGATTGAGAAGGTGAGTTGGGACACATAATATTGATTTAGTTCAAAACCTGGGAAATTTGTGTTATTACAGTTTAGCCTGGTATGGCGTAAGGTTGGGCTATTTTTCACGTTAATCATAATTTATAGGTGTTTTTAGCCAACACACTTGTCTTCCGCTGTAGTATGGCCTTGCTATTGACGTCACGGAGTACATGGGCCTTGTCATCCCTTACCCACCCATTCCGTCTTTGGGAAAATGTTGTTTACGTTACAATGTGTTCCGTTTGTTCCCAGGAATTCCATTAGGTGAAGCTATTTCTAGAATATCTTTATTAGAACGCTCGGACTTACTTCCTATATGAAGTCCGCCAGGTTTCTTAACAGGTGGACAGAGCGACAGACAGATAGAAAGAGCGAAGGAGAGAATTTTGCTCTTCGAACCATTATGTAATTGTGTGCGTGTAAATTAACATGTATTTTGAGGAGTGCACCGTCTTTACTTGCTGTTAAGTTGATACATGTTTTTTTTTTGCTTCTATACTCAAATTTGTTTGTGTATAGAAATTTATTTGTATAGCTGTATTGAATATCATTAGTATCACTAGCGTTGGTATAGTCTTCCCTGCATGCTGTTTTCTCAGTCCTGTGTTACACATTGCTTCTTCTAACAGCCAATCATCAACACATACTACATTTTCTAAACCTTAACGCTACGTAACAGCGGTGTGTAGCTCATAGCGATGGCTTTGGCGGTTACATATGGCCACCTGAGCTAGACGATTGAAATAATGTTGTTCGTCCGTCGAGGATCGACGATGACCATCAAGTCGTCCGGTGACTGATGACTTGCGCTAGTGACTTTAGTTTAACGTGAGGAAGAACGATTGAAATATAAACTGAAGGTAATTACACGACTCTGTCGTGTCAGGAGTCTGCTGCCATTATTCACTGCTGCCATTATTCACTGCTGCCAATTATTCACTGCTGCCAATTATTCACTGCTGCCAATTATTCACTGCTGCCAATTATTCACTGCTGCCAATTATTCACTGCTGCCAATTATTCACTGCTGCCAATTATTCACTGCTGCCAATTATTCANACAATTCTTATGACTTTAAATCACACAATTTCAGTCATCTCATTCGATTCACTTGAGTCAAAATAGAGATTATTACAATTCTGACAATATGAAAGTTGAAGAGTAAATTTTAAAAAAATATATATTTGCTGAATATGTAACAGATTGATGATTTCGAGTTTGACTGGGACTCCAACACCGTGGGGCTTGTCCTGTCCGCCATCTCGTTCACGTCGTGGGTCGGCCCGCTGTTCACAGACACACTCCGCGGCTACCTCGGCAACAAGTGGACGCTCACTCTGCTGACCCTCGGCTCTGCGGCGACGACCCTGCTATCTCCCCTGGCTGCCCGCATAGGACCGGGCGTCCTGGTCGGGCTCAGGGTCGTAACAGGAGTGGTCTCGGTGAGTACTTTAAGGGGAACCCAGCTACGTTAGTCCCCCGCGCCCCAAACCCCCCCCCAGCCCCATGTCGTTCATTGTTGTTGCTGGTCTGTGGTCGACTCTTTGGGGCAATGGCCAACATGGGGCTAGCATTCTGTGGGGCATCTACTTTGCTTGAAACTATGATGGGTGCCTAGTTTAGGTTTAACCATATGTGTAGTGGCTCTATCTACCGCGTACAAAGTATGAAGATATGCTCAGGAAAACTCTTCCATCTTAAATAAAGTTCTTGCTCCTTCACGCCATTTTCCCATGTTCTCCAATTCCCACCATCACTCCAATTCCCTCTTATTTCAACACTCCATTATTACAACCTATATCAACACTTCGATTCCAAACTATATCACACTCAAATTTCCACCTATATAAACACTCCAGCTGCCACCCTTATCACCACCACCATTACAACCTATATCAACACTTCGATTCATAACTATATCACACTCAAATTCTCACCTATGTAAACACTCCAGCTGCCACCCCTGCCACCAACCACAATTACAACCTATATCAACGCCCCGATTCCCAACGATATCAACACTCCAATTACCACCTACATCAACGCCCCTATTCCCATCAATATCAACATTCCAATTCCTACCCATACCAACACTCAAACTGCCAGCGATATCAACACTTCAACAGCCACCTGTATCAACCCCAATAAATGTTGTATGTGTATGCACGAAGTTCCTAATTTGATTTGTTTTCCAAGGGAGGGAACACGCCCATTGTTGCTGACACCATTGTCTGGTGGACTCCAGTGTCCGAGAAGCTGACCGCTACAACATTGACATTTTGTGGTAAATATTTTTTTTTTTAATTTCCTTATGGAGCTAAGTCAGTAAAGCCCATATCAGAGGTTCCCCAGAATTTGTCAAATAGCGTGGTCCTAGATGCATCCAGGTTGACAAAGGCGCTGTATGTCAAATTCTAACAAGAGCACTGCGAAATAGCGAATTTTTAAAGAAATTTTATTGATTAACAATGCGCCCTTGTGAGGAAATCGAAGTCCCCAACGGCACAAATTTTGTGATCCTCTGGTCAATATAAATTTTCACATCATTTTATTTAGAACCCCTTGCTTCATTTAAAATCATTAAAAAAATATATAAAAAATCAATGACCTTTTCGGTTGTACACAAAAATTCCACCCATAATACTAATCATGGTAGTTATTCTCATTTTATTTAAAACCTGTCATGAGTTTTTATAGCATTTATCATTTAACGGAACAAATATTGCTCATCAACGTTTTCGCCTAAACCCCATCCCACTAAATTTCAATCGCACTCAAACAGATATATGTTTAAAAAAATAAAGTTGTTTTCTGGGGGTAAACAATAAGATGATAGTTGAATGGTAAACGTTTATTTTAGTCGAGTGCTGGCTGATAACACTGACCCTTTGGAGGAGAAAAAAATCTCCATTTAAAATTTATATAACAAAAGCTGAAGAAAAAAAAATAAAAAATAAAAAATCACTCTAAATTGTTAGTTTAAATTTATTTTTCTGGGTGGATTCGGTTAAATTTGGTTTATTTGTAGACGACTCCGGTTATAAATGTACAACGATGAAAGTCCAATGCAAACTCTTAACATGTAGGAAATAAATAGCACAAGTAGGCGAAACCCTGGAGAAAAAAAAACGACATCGAATCATCGGAAGTACAGACAGAATGCCTCCTTCAGCGAACTGAAACATGTAAATAATAATATTAATTAAAATCAGTGAACTGGTTATGTAAAGAGTTCGAGAGAAATCTGTTTAACTAATCAAGTTTTTTTTCTCCCCAGGGTATAACATGGCCGGCATCGTCACCTTCTTCATCGCTGGCTTTTTGTGTTCTGTTCCCATTGACAACGGCTGGCCATTTGTCTTCTACGTCTTTGGTAAAACTGTCCTCCTTATAGCTTGTTTGCGGGTTACTGGATCTAGAGTAGAGCAGCGTTTCCCAAAGCCTGGGGTCACAATCTGCTTCCGGGCCACGACAAGCAAAGTTACTGGGTCGCCCGAAGAAGAAGCAAAAGTGATTTCAGGGTCACGACAAAAGGCTTTGGGAAACGCTGGAGGAGCGTCGATTTCCGGAATTGAATGGGACCCGGATTTGATTTGGGTTAGAAAGTTATTTGAATATCGAAAACTCCACAGAAATGTTTTTTTAAAGAAGTTAATGATAAATACAACCAAAAAATATTTTTGCCTACTAGTTTTTATTCCTCGAAAGATGTTTAGTTGAGCAATGCATTAACAACAGCGCTCGGTGCATTTAGGGTCCGCTGATTGATAAAAAAGGTGTTTCTTTGCTGCAAAAATAGGTTGTTTCCGAAAATAGATGGATATTTACTTAGCGAAACTGCAAAGGATTGTGAAAAATGAGTTGGAATTATTTTCCAGTAGGGGTGCCTATCCTCCCCCTTCCCAAAAAGTTGTGGAAGCCAACCTCCCTTGCGACCCTAGACATTAGACTGGGTAAAATTATGTACCGTGGTTCATTTTAGTCAAGGTAGTGGTGTTGAATTCGGGAGTTCACTATTCATTTTAGTAATACAGAAATTTACAATCACAAAAAAAAAAAAAAATTGTTAAGACATTGATGAATATTCAGTAATAATATGTGGTTAACAAACCATTACAATTTCAATAAAAACCTCAACAATTCAGTTCTTCCCAATATCAAATAAATTAAATTACAAAAAAGTGAGATTTAAAAAAAAAAAAAAAAAAAGTTTAGTTCTTTGGTTTCAATTCTTAAAGTTCATTTCCGGTGTGGTAAAAACCACAACAATTCAGTTCTTCCCAAAATAAAAAAAAAAAAAATAAAAAAAAGTGATATTTAAAAAAAAAAAAAAAAAAAAAGTTTAGTTCTTTGGTTTCAATTCTTAAAGTTCATTTCCGGTGTGGCTGCGCAATCGTAAAAGTATCGTTTCACACTAGAGGATTGCGTTGAATCTCCTCCCCGCTTTTTAGGGTCTAAAAATTTCCCCAACCCAATTACAAAAGTATAACAGAAATTTTAAATCATTTTCTTTTTTTTTTTACTATTATTATTATTAAATGAATTTTGTTACCCGGAGAAAATCAAAAGGAAATGGCTTTTTTTTGGTTTTGTTTGGGAAGGGGATGTATATCGTTTTATAAACTCAGATTAGAAGCAACTGCTTTCTTCCCTCCTAGCTTTCTTCCCTCCTATGTGGACGCCCTTATTTGCCGGTTTTGAAAACAAATACTTCCTGCCATGCGCATTGCGGACGATGAAGTAGGGGTGTTCGGATAATCGACGTTTCCGATCATCGACGTTCGGAAAATCGAAACTCCACTGTGTACATATTTTCCCAAAAAGTTTCAGAATGTTAACTTCAATGATATGTTGACCTATTGTAATTCTTTTCTTTTTTTTTTTACGTTCTTATATCATTCATTCCATTTTTTTCTTTAAACAAAGATTCCCTAAGTGCTGTTTAGAAAAAGGCAAAACAAACAAAAAAATCTATTTGTTGTTCTTCATACTTCTAAGTTAAGTCTCTTGGATAAAACGAATCAAAGAATCGAGTGAAGCAAAGTTATTGACAAATACAAAACTAAACGCAATTAAAAGAGATATAAGAGCAAGCAAGGTATGCCAAACTTGAATTCATTTTTATTAAATGCATTTAGAAGCATCGACGGGGTAGAGTTTACCGTTGAACAGATCTCTGCATAGATTTGGAAGAAAGAAAAAACAACAACAATTATTTAGATTTAAATCCCAGAAATGCGCCCCTGCTGACATAAAAAGAAACTTGTATACTTTACTCTCACGTTTCGCCACGCCAGGGGCCATAACTCTACTGTGGACACTTGCATGGCACATAATGACGACTCAAAAGCCCGAAGACCATCCGTGGATTTCCGACGAGGAGAAGTCTTTCATCATCGCCACACGTAGTCTTAGCCTCGGGACGGAAAAGGTGGGTGAGAATATAATATGTCATTAAGCCTTTGTGTCCTTTTGGAAGTGGTTCACATCACGGCCATGACATACATATCCATACACACACTCGACCCTCAAAACTTTTTTTTTTTAAATGCTAATTTGCATTTGGGATAATGACTGTGTGGAGAACTTTTACTTTAACAAATGGATTGATTGCGTTCTCTATCTTTTTTCTAAAAAAAAAACAACAAAAAAACAAACAAACCATGTCCACTAACAACGTATCCAGGTAAGGGTATCAAAATGAAATCGTATCCGGAAATTTGATCGAAAGAAATTTCATCGACGGTAAATTGACCGACAGTAATTTGATCGAACGGAAATTTGGTCGAATCTTCTTTTTTTTGTCTCAGTTTTTACGTTAAAATTTTGTTGCAAATTTCATTTTAAACGCATTATTTTGTTTTACTATATGGTATGGTGCGTTCAAAAAGAATTGTGACGAACATTTTAACGCGTGAAATGAAAAAAAGATTCGACCAAATTTCCGTTCGATCAAATTTTCGTCGATCAATTTACCGTCGACGAGATTCCTTTTGATCACATTTCCGGTAACCAAATGAAATTCACCCTTTAGCATTTTTAAACTATCCAATTATCCATTTTTAAATTTTTGTAACGAACGTAATTTCCATCCATTTATCCCTTTTTTGATTGATTTCTTTTTTTTTTATTCATGTCCTTTCCACTCATATATCCACAATACCATATCCTTAGCGCGTTCAGATATTGTCGTATTTCTACACCCATGTGAATCTCTCAGACAGGAAGCCGAGACAAGCCGCCGTACCGAGACATTATGACGTCAGTTCCGGTGATCGTGCTCTTCTTCGTCACGAGCGTGCACATGTGGAGCTTGACGATCATCTACACTTACATCCCCGTGTACTTCTCGAGGCTGCTGGGCTTTACGTATGAGGAGGTAGCTAACACTGGTCTTTGGCGTTCATGGTGTTTCAATAAAAAAAAAAAATGTTTTCGTATAATAAAATAAATCTCTTATAAATATGTTATTGCTTCTGGTGTGTCCTGCTTCCTCTTCGAAACCACCTCCCCTCAACTCCACATGTTTCATATTAATAATACGGAATGGAATAAAAAAAAGGCTGTCGCCCAGCCAGCTTCATGCGTGACCTCTGAACTCTGTTAAATAGGTTGCTATTTTTTCTATAGAAAAGATTTTTTTTTTTTTTTTAAATGTCACTGATTTTTTCACAAATTTGTTCTGGGGCTGCACACACCCCTCAGAACTGGTTTCATTGGACCATCCTTTTCACTTCAGGTGTCTGTGTGCCATGCTAGTCTTTTCCGTAGCCTAGTACAGGAAGGTATTGCCATTTTCGTTATATTGCCACTGTTGTTTCTTTACAGTCTTTATTATAAAATGATCGACATTATCTTCTCTGTCGATTTGTTTTTGTACAAAAGTCATCTCTATTTCGGGATCCGGCAACTGCCTGTTCCTATTAGTAGGTTATTTCTTCACAAAAAAAAAAAAACTTTTGAAGAAAATGCCCTCTCACTACGATATTGGAGCGGTAGATTTTGTTGCATATTATTGAAAATGAGAAATTAACTCTTTTATTATTATTATTATTATTATTATTATTATTATTATTATTATTTATTATTTTTTTGAACTCTTCTTTTATCAACATACCCGGACTTTGTGTAAAAAAATTCACCCGGTTGAGCCCCAGTGTATGTATATTCTATGATATATCTACATCAGTTACACAGTTGGCCTAGCAAATTGATTGCACCAAGTCATTCCCTGTGTTAAATCTAAAGAAAATGTAGATCTAAATGTCTTTTATCCAAATGTCTCTTGTTTTGTAGAGAACATGTCGTATTTCTCGGTATAATAAATTTGTCCTTGTACAAAATCCCGCTAGACAGGTGTACTGGTTTCTTGTGTGGCTTTCTGTCGTCTTTTCGGAGCCATTCTCTGGACAATCATCGGGAACAAGCTGATGTCCAGACCTGGGATGACCGCTAACAAAAGCAGAAAGATCATTTTTACAGCAGGTATAAAGTAAATTGTGTTTAAACACGGTGCGGTGGATTAGTGGAGACGTTCACCGAAGCGCCAAGTCATTATTCAGGGGCGTCAGAAAGTTACTTGGGGCGTCAAAACACTATCTGAGGGGGTGTTGGGACTTTTCCAGAGGGAGCTCAAACATTACCAAAGCGTTAGAATGTAATATGTAGCGTTGGAATGTTTCTTTGCGACGCTAGGAAGTTTCAAACCAATATTTGTTAAAGATTTTGTGTCCGCCATTGAATTCTTAAAATTGTCCAGCATACATAAATGTTCGATAGAGTCCTACAGGTGTCCTTAAACATAATTTAGACGTTTCATTTGTGTGGGCTCAAATGGAAACTAAGTGTATTGTAAACACTTGAACGGCTCATATTTTCCTCAATATTTAAAAAGGGTGGAAGTCTTTTTTAGCTTGCTGAAACAATACAAAACATTATGTTGCGACGTTAGCACTTGACTATTTCCTTATATTTATCTGAATATCTGTGGATCTCACCAGGTTCCGTCATAGCGGGTGTGTTTCTCGTGGCCGTCACCTTCGTAGCCTCTGACCTCAGGTCGCTGGCTGCGACCCTCATGTGCGTCGCGATGGTCTCTCAATCTGTGTCAGCCGTCGTGATGCCTGCTTTAGCGCTAGACATGGCGCCAAGGTAATGTTAACAATCAGGTCTTGATGCGATTCACGTTATGAGACGTTGCAAGTTGCAACTTCCTATTGCCATACAAATTTACATTTGAAGATTGCAAGAATGCACCTTTCGGAACCTTCTTTCGATTCGAAAATATTAGCTGGATTGATATACTTATTGATGTGTGCTTAGCTAACATAACATATTTTGTGGACTGATGTACTTATTAATGTGCATGGCTTTTGTAAAATATTAGCTGGATTGATGTACTTATTAGTGCGCATGGCTATCATAATCTGAACTCAAATATTTGATCTTCTGAATTTAATCATCATTTAGATAGGACCGCCTGTGATGTCTTCACTGCATTTCTTTCAGGTATGCAGGATTTATCTCTGGCATGTCAATGTCCATAGCGTCGGTTGTGGCCATCCCTGGCCCCCTGATCGTTGCTGCATTGACACCGACGGTATGTAATCAACGTGTTTGCAGACATTTTGTTTTGTGCGTGGATCTAATCTTTTAACCACTTTAAAATGTTTTGATTTATAAATCCTTTTACTTTTACTTCGTCCTTGTGTGTTGAGGGCAAACATCTTCGGACCCGATTCCCGTCAACCTATCAAGCTGAAAATTGCCACATAGACTCGTCGACAATGACGACACATTTTTTTTAAATTTTGAACCCCACGTCACCAACCCCTAACCCACCGAAAAATCGTTTTTTTTTTCCATTTTTTTTATAGGGGAGATGAAAAAAAAAATAATGCCACCAATTCCACGAAATAAAATTCCCGATAACGGTGCAAAATGAGATTCTTAAAATAAATATCGTATACCGTAATATTTTCTTTTGTTATTGTGAAGTAGTTGGTGAAATGAATCTACGGTGTAAAAGTGGGTGTGGCGTCAATGTAAAAATAAAACAAATGGGGCGATGAATTGTTAACGCTATAGCTCTACTTTGAAGTAAAATCATTTTTTTTTAATCACATTGAATCACATTTATTTTTTATTTGTTGAATCACATTGAATCACATTTATCTTTTTTAAAAATCACATTGAATCACATTTATTTTTTTTTTAAATCACATTGAATCACATTTATTTTTTATTTGTTGAATCACATTGAATCACATTTATCTTTTTTAAAAATCACATTGAATCACATTTTTTTTTTTAATCACATTGAATCACATTTATTTTTATTTTTTTAATTACATTTATTTTTTTTTTTTTTTTTGTTTTTTTTTTTTATTGTATTCTTTTTTTTTTTTATTTTTGTCTTTTTTTTTTTTTTAAATATCATTGAATCTCTTTTATTTTTTTTTTGTTGAATCACTTTTAATTACTTTTATTTTTTTTAAAAATCATTTTTATTCATTTTTTTTTTTTTTAATCACATTGAATCACATTTATTTTCATTTTTTAAATCACATTTATTTTTTTTTTTTTTATTTGATTTTTGTTTTAAATGCATTCTATACTTGATATATTTATGTCTTCTACATCAGAATTCGCAGAGCGAGTGGACCACGGTTTGGCTCATCGTGTCGGCAGCGACCCTTGTCGGGGCTGTCATATTTCTCGTGTTCGGCCAGGCTTCCCTCCTGCCTTGGGCGGATAACACGAGCATCCCGACACCTCACGTGATGGGCCCGTTCATCCAGTTGGGTCGACGCATGACCCTGTTTATGGAAGCACCGCCCCTGAGACTGGTCGACACTGGCTGTGACCACACGTTTGCCCCTGCCATTATCCCGCACTTGTCCAGTTTCCGGTCACCGGATGTTTTTCTGGGTCCGACTAAGCGGGCACGTTCAGATATGGAGCTGGCCTCCGAAAGTAATGGAGATTTACATGTACAAAGAGAAGATAATCCCGAATTTCAGTCTGATGGTTCTTTCATTAATAATGGATTACCTCCCTCTATAACCAATATTTCTGTAAAATGTTCAGATCGTGAATTGAATGATGTCGACATTGATGATAAAAATTCGTCACAGTTTGAGAACCTTCCCGACTCAATAAACGGGATCCACATAAACGATAATCATTTAAAGGTAGCGGAGGAAACATACGATACACGCTTGTAATTTATTTTTTTTTTAAACATTTTTTTAGATACGAAGCACTTTTCAAAAAAATACATTTTCTATTGGAATTGAACAAAAGATACATAATAGCATTCGATTAGATTTGTTCACATGCTATATCACAGCATTCAATGACATACGATTCAGAGCATACAAGATCTTCATATGAAAGCATCGAATGACATACGATTCAAATGCATACAAGAGGCTCACGAGAAAGCATCGAATGAAGTAAGATTCAATGCCTCATTCAGGATCCTCATTACCCAACCCCCCCCCCCCAAAAAAAAAAAAAACAAAAAAAAAAAAACAAAAAAAAAAACAACAACATGATCTTGTAACACCAGTTAAGTTTCGCTTGGACCTGACCAAAGATCTATTCATTGTTCTGGTTTAGTAAAGATAACACAGGAATGGGATGCTGAGCATTGAGAGCGCCGTAGCGGCACGTGTACTTGATGAGAGAGACCTGGTCATGTACGAGACGCAAAAGAAATTGATTTCAAAAACCTATTTTGAGAAAAAATCTATTTTGTAATACATATATTTTTTTTAAAGTAAACACTCTTTTTAAAGAAGTTTCTAATTCTGTGAATTTGAACAAAAGAAAGAGAAAAAATAATTTAATTTCTCTCATAAAAAAAAAAGGAAATGTTCTTTGAAGAATAGAGAACGGGGCTGTTCGAGGCCGTAATCACGTGTTACTTTTTGCGGTCTCACTACGCAAACAAATCTGTTTACTAGCATGCATCTGCTTTGGCAGGGGTGGGGAAACTTTTCATGCGGTGGGCCACATTGACAAATGTAAAGCTATTGGGGGACTGTATCCATAGTATATCTAACTTTGACACATCGATAAACATTTCTCTCTTTTAAAATCGGTAAATTCTCATTTTAGAAATTGCATGAAAAACTTCTAGGACTGTTAAAAAAAAAAAAAAAAATTAGAAAGAAATTTGATCAAAATTGTTCAAACAATCATAACGGTAAGTGGAATTTTGTAAAATTGAACAAAATAACTTAAAAACAAACAAAATAACTTAAAAACAAACAAAATAACTTAAAAACAAACAAAATAACTTAAAAACAAACAAAATAACTTAAAAACAAACAAAATAACTTAAAAACAAACAAAAATAACTTTTTTATATTTCTGAATGCCTTCGAGGACCTCATTATATTAGTTGCCGGGCCATCCTTTTGCCCAACCCTGCACTATAGAAACCCATAATAGAATTTTATATCTTGTTAAAATTTCGTAGGTTTGAGAGTGTAGACAGTGTTGAAGAGCATAGCAAGTGATAATACCACTATAGGAAAGTCTTACAAGAATGTGGAGAGGGTTTATAAAGTCTTAAGATATATACATAAATAATAAATTAAATACAAGGAATTTTAGCCTAGCGGGGTGGGGGGGGGATTCTGCAACCTAACCCACAGGATAGTCTTTGTACCATTCAATTCATAACTGCCATTTAAAGTAATATTGTTTTACGCGGTTCATGTGATTTGGATGGACTCTGGTGCACGCTAAAGTCTTACAAGAATGTGGAGAGGGTTTATAAAGTCTTAAGATATATACATAAATAATAAATTAAATACAAGGAATTTTAGCCTAGCGGGGTGGGGGGGGGGGATTCTGCAACCTAACCCACAGGATAGTCTTTGAACCATTCAATTCATAACTGCCATTTAAAGTAATATTGTTTTACGCGGTTCATGTGATTTGGATGGACTCTGGTGCACGCAAGGGGTCGAGATGGGCCATGGAACCCCTGCAGCTGGGAGACCTCTCATAGTTAAGGACCCCTGTTATGTAGCATACATTCCCCGTGCTTGAATTCTGCTTGACCCAAATTAGATCCCTAGCAGACGTTAGCGTTTGTTGTGGGCGTGGCTTATTCGTTTGATGTAGCTTGTTGACAACCGTGTTGAGAGAGAGAGAGAGAGAGAGAGAGAGAGAGGGAGAGAGAGAGAGAGAGAGAGAGAGAGAGAGAGAGAGAGAGAGAGAGAGAGAGAGAGAAAGAGAGAGAGAGAGAGAGAGAGAGAGAGAGAGAGAGAGAGAGAGAGAGAGAGAGAGAGAGACGGAGATTCAGATAGGTTTTATTAACTTCACGAGACGTGTATTATTCTTTGTGTTCTGATATATGTGTTTATTTCGCATTTCATCAGTATTCATTGGCACATTATACGAACTCTGTTAACTGTGTACCGGTACAAGATCTACCATACTTTAAGTTGATGATTTGTAATGATATTTCTTTTCTTTTGTAATTACATTAATACTTCAATAAATCTTATTAATTGTAACTAGCAACTGTTTTGGGTGTCATGTCTTTAATATTGTTGACTCTATGGAATCGTCCTTTGTTAGGCACTGTTTACAACGAGCCAATTAAAATTAAAATAGGAGATTAATTTCTCATATTAGAAGCCAGTGTGCGACAACCCCGAAGTTGGAATGTGGAAAAATTAAACCATCGAATTTGAATGACAGAGCAATGAAGGGGCCCGAAGTCGCAATGTGGTGAAAAATTTAACAAACAACTTTGAATGAAAGCAGTGGCCTAGCTAGGGTTGGTGTCTCCAGGTGCGGTAAGCTCATGGCGTCCCCCCCCCCCACACCCCACACCGAATTCCAAAATGCATCTTCGTGTTCAAATAAGTCCACGGTTAAAAACAATGACGACGAGAAAAAGAAATGAGTTAGAGACCAGGGGATAAATGCATTTAAGAACTGTAACAACGTTAGGTTGTAGTCCCAGGGGCGCCCACAGCGTTACGAACTGGACGCACGTGCGCCCACTAAAATTTACAAAATTGATATTTGTCTATAAAAGTCAATTAGCGCCTTACCGATGCTCCACGGAGCTCAATTATTAAATTAAATAATAAAAGCAAATAACAAAATGAAAAATATCAAATTTAAGAGTTCCCCTCACCCCTGATTTGTGAGAATGTGAGTGACGGTTAGAAACTTTTTTTTTAAATATCTATGCAACTACCGGGTATTTATTACTATTACATCTCTATTTTAAGACGTGCGCATGTCCGGGCGGCCATATTTGTTTACGTTCAAGCCGTTCTTCAAGTCGTCTACTCTAGCACGTTTTTTTTTTTTTTTTGTTGTAATCGTTGCAGTATTCTTGTATTTCCTCAATTTTGAATAATGGGTGACAGTAATAAAGATGAGACCGGCGAAAAATCTCCTCCTAAAAAAGAAACTGTGTATTACGTCATCCTTTAAAAAATTGCAACACTCGGTTTATCAGCAACATTAACGTCATCAACAAATGTGCCGCAGTTGCAAGATGCTGCCAAAAATACTCCTGCAATGACATTATTATTGGATAACCACATATCCAGTGTGTCCTTTAAATTCTAGTGAATCCGAATCTGTTCGGCTGTATTTTTCGATATTGGTGAGGTCAACTTTAACCAAACATTACCTGAATCAGTAAAGAAATCAGTGCTTTTGGAAAAGTTTCAACCATCTAAGAACTGGAAAGGGCCTTTGAAGACAGTTGGGAATACACAACGCCGTGTGCCTAGTTCTATGTTTAACTTAAATGTGTATCTGTTTATGAGTTAGAGTGTCAAAGCGGATCTTCTTCTTCTTCTATATCTTAAGGGCCCACGATCAATTTATTGATCATTCTGGCTCCTATGCATGTAGATGGGATTTGCAATGTTTCTGTTCCTGGTGTTGATGAGGAAATTTCACAGATTTCCAGTGCCACTTTGTGAGGGAATCATGCACTGGGGGTTTGAAGGCTTGAGGCAATAGACACAAATGTGTCTAGTGTTGTCGCCTCAACTGTTCCTTTTGAAAGATGGTTCCAGTCCCTGATTGTCTTGGGCAGGAATGAGCAGCTCCTATACTGGCTTCTTGCTGGTATGAGCCTGAATTGCCTGTCATGGCCTCGTCGCTGTCTATGGGGGAGAGGGACGAGTTTCTGTTTAATACTGGAACAGTGGACCAGCCCATTATTTATCTTGTACATCATGGAGAGCCTGGATTGTCGTCGTCGTTTCTCCAATGGTGACCAGCCTAGTGTTTCTAGCATGCTGCCAACACTAGAGGTATTCCTGTAGCGGTTTAGGACAAAGCGTGCTGCTCGTCGCTGGACCGCCTCCAACCTGTCAATGCTCTTCTGGGTAAATGGGTCCCAGACTGAAGATGCATAATCTAAAATCGGACGGATAAAGGCTTTATATGCTCTTTCTTTCACACAGGAGTTGCCAATCTTTAGATTTCGCCTTAAGAACCCTAGGGATGGTGTCTTCTGTGCTGCCTGCTCAGTATTTGCTTCAGGTACGACATGCGCTTTTATACGTGAGCCGCATTGAGACTGGAGTAACATAGACCGACATGCACAACGTCACATATACAAGCTCTATACAAGCAGCATATGCATTTATAAGTGAATGCGAAGGTAAATCAGCCTCCGTGAAACAGCAGCTATCTCAAGCGTACAATGACAAAGTCCAAAGGAACACAGCTGCTCTCAAATCCATTATTAAAAACAATAATACTGTGTGGACAGCAAAACATACCAATGCGCGGAAAATCAGATAATCGGAGCAATTTTATGGCTCTTCTTAATTTCAGAGCCGAGCACGATCTTGCTCTTAGTGAGCATCTACGCATCGCGTCAGGTAATTCAAAAGGCATCAGTCATAGAATACTTATAAATGTCAATACACTGTTGGTCTGAGCCTTAGTCTCTTAGAGCCCCCGGCTACTAATTTGACTCGGTAAGGCGCTGATTGACTTTTATAAACAAATATCAATTTTGTAAATTTTAGTTGGGTGCATGTGCGTCCAGTGCGTCACGCTGTGGACGCCCCTGGGACTACAACCTAACGTTGTTACAGTTCTTAAATACATTTATCCCCTGGTCTTTAACTCATTTGTTTTTCTTGTCGTCATTGTTTTAACCGTGGACTTATTTGAACACGAAGACGCATTGTGGAATTCGGTGTGGGGTGTGGGGGGGGGGGACACCATGAGCTTACCGCACCTGGTGACACCAACCCTAGCTAGGCCACTGCTTTCATTCAAAGTTGTTTGTTTATTTTTTTTTTTTTTCCACATTCCAACTTCGGGGTTGTTGCGCACTGGCTTCTAATATGAGAAATTAATCTCCTATTTTAATTTTAATTGGCTCGTTGTAAACAGTGCCTAACAAAGGACGATACCATAGAGTCAACAATATTAAAGATACGACACCCAAAACAGTTG